TATGACCAAGATAACTCAACAAGTGTGCAAGCGCCCCAAATTGAGGACTAGACTAGTACGACTTACTCCAAAAATTGGCATCCTATGACATTTGAATGTTGGAAAAATAATCCTCCACGTTAAAACTCGAACGTTCCAGAAATGTTAAACTATCAATGGCGAACGGAGTCGGAATTGGGGCCGTTTTTATAGAAGGCTTACAATGTACCTTTAATGTATGCATACGACTATACCATAACCAGACCAGTGCTTCGAAAAGTGACCCAAGATTGAAATCCGTAGAGTGAATTTTCTAAAGAATGTTTCCAGAACACCAGGAGACACAACAAAAAAGGAACTGGTGAATTTGACAATATGCGAATTTGTGTGAAATTGGATTTTAAAAAAGCATCAGAGCATGGAACAAACATCCAACTTGATGGCAAAGCGATTTGGATTTTTTAGTATGTACGAGAAACGCCCAGTCAGGTATCTAATACCTATTCCACTGTTTAAAATGGCTTCAAAAAACAATTTATAGTTAAGGATCGAAGATCAAAAATCGATGAGTTTCAATATTTTGATACTTAAAGGCACCACAAAGGATTTTCTGGGATGAAATTTAAGCCAACGATTTCTCGAAAAAGCTTAAAAACTGACCCATAGTAAGATACTAAGAACGAGGTACGTCGAGAAACTAAGTATACAGCACGTGGAAGACGTTATGAAGAATGTCGGGTGGGAACCGAAGATCTTTCAAAGGGTTCATGGCGCGTGGGCAGTATGTACTGTCATCCCACCCTGTTGCAGTCCGGCATTCGCTATAGGGTCTTCATTCAGTTTTTCCAGAATGGGGTCCTGAAGGAAAATAGGTTTAATGATGCGCCTACGACTTACGGTCAACTACGACCAACGACACTGCATATTAGCTTCTAGTTACCATGAAGCACGTTAATACATCGTGGTTATATAATCCATTGTCCTCCTAAACCTCATACTGTTACAATAATTAAGTTCAAAATGTCATGCAAACTTGAAATTCACAAGAGTATCTACACAGTTTAGTTGGACAGATTCCCAAAAGTGAAGTTGTGAATTTGTTCAGATATCAAAATGTTAGCCACGCAACAATTTATATTTTACATCTTCGATATTGAAAATTGAAGTAAAAGCAACGGAGAAATTCGATGACAAAATTCTGGTGGGTGATTTCGCTGAGGAGAAACTGTTATTATTCCAGAAATTCCTCGGGAATGGTTGGAGCAGAATAAAGTTAACTTTGTACCAGAAAAAGCTAGACCTCCCCTCAGCAGATGTACCATAAGCTCGGCCAATGAAAGAATTTTGTTTGCTACTGTGTTGAAAAGTTTACGACAACGGATGGGAAGCCCCTAATGAACAATAATTGCAGGCGCGCATTTTTATAAAAATTCGAGAAGTGGATCTGAACATTGTCCAACGAACGATAAGCCGTTGGTCAGCTATCAATTGTGTAGATTTGTTTTCATATTTTTCATTTCGTTGATCAGACATTTTTTCTCAAAACTTATGTCTCATACGTTATTTGCCGAGATCAATTTGAAAGGTGGCACCCACTTTTAAATGCAGGTCATGTATATTGTCTTTTTCTCTCTCTCTCTCTCTCTGGGTAACATCTTCATCGTCCAAAAATTATTATACGAGGATGCCGGGTCTGGCGAACAGATGGAATGAGTCGCTGATTCGTTACGTCAAATAAAGAACCGATCCTTATACAGCTACAGTGGACGCAGCAAACGAAAAATGGACTGTTTATACGTTTAAAGGTTTTGGTGTGATATGAATTATGGCGATTCACATGCCTATAGAAAGGAGGAGCAAAGATGATGAAACTGCATCCTTGGCCAAAAAATAAGAATATATTCGTATAAGATAATGGCACATCTATACTCCGTTGCGGCTAGGAAAGTGACATGCAGAAATTTGTATTGAAAGCTTTGTGAATATAAATCGTGTGCATTTCTTCTATTTCCAAAAATCATGCACAATATTAAAAATGCATTAGCAACTGTCTAGGATACAATTCACTGACATCCATCTTCACAGCAGTTCGAGAGTTCGCACCCCTAGGTGCACAAGCGGTGGTAAGCAGGACAGATTGAAACCTCAACATAGGCACTAGCTGTAATACCCAAACACTGCAATAAGTTGCTGCATAGTATACTCTGAGGATTGCCCGTATATTGCACAGTTGATCAGGAATAGTACTTCCTCTGGAATAATAATAATCCAAGAAAATGACGCTATTCCATCCTTATAGTGCGTGTAAAATATACACCAAATGTCACAATTCCATGTTGGTCAAAACCTCCCGCCGGTTTCCTTTGTCATTTTCCTGTGATCACAGAGTTAGCAGTCATTATATTGCTCCAGTAATTTCCCCTATGTTTCTGCAGGCAACATCTGTAATCTTGCCAGCGTCGACTGTTAAGATCTGGATCCATAATAGCAAGGAATTACCAATGCACCATCTAAAACAGAAGTGTGCAGGCACTATATCCGTTGTAGATAATCCCATCTAACTTCGTCAACCAAATTACTTGGCTGCCATGTAGATGATGAAAGTCAAGGCGTCAATTTCAATACTTTTAAATTCACTCACTTCTACATGGCACGCGAAACAACGCATCCATATACCAAAACTTGTAGCACAAATCCACAAAATCATATTGCCAAACGTTCAGAGTTCTCACACCTGCAATTGAAGAGCTACGATTTTTTTTTATCCTGACTGGTTAAACTTTCCATATAGAAAATATTAACATGTACCCATGAGAAGCTGCGACCTTAGAAGAGTGACCTATATTTCTGTCAAAGAATGTTATCTGTAAGATGCATCTATTTTCTACAACATGCAAGAACATCAATGAAACAATTATTTATAGAATATAAAATATTTGTTATGTGTTAAACAGTGCGATCGTTTATTGGGATAATTTCTTTGTCAAATTCAATGTGCGCAATCTTTTTGTTGTTGAATAATTAATTTTCGTATGCCGTTCGCTTCTTATATGAACTGATTAAGTATGAATGTTTGTTCTACACTGAACTACACTAAATGTATCGACCGTACCTAATTTTATTTAACGGTTGCGTTCTTAATTGTTACCTAATAATAAAGTAGGTAGGTATCTAATCAAAATTATAACCTTCGTATTGAAACTTGAAATGATGTGAAGAAGCTACCGTGTAGTAAATGCAACCGTTTTGTCTCAAGTTCGATGTGCTCTTTTTTTAGGTACAATTGTAACAATTGTGATAGGTATTGTAAAGGGCACTACATTAGAGTTGTATTGTGGTTAAGTGAACTTCAGGGAGACGGAGGAATCAATACATCATCCCGTCAAAAATAGAGCTAAGGCGGAGCTATTCACGTTATGTTAACCAATAATAATCCCTACAATAGGGGCCATCTTGCTATATTTTGGAAATTAAGCCATATTTGTATTGAGTTTTCTACTTCTTTAATAATATAATTGCTTTTACGGAGGTAATTAACGTCACTTTAGAATTGAAACAGTATTACGAGAGTCGCGCTTTCGATAGACTTGTGCAGACTTGAAAGGAACTTTAAAACAAAACTTTCAAATTACAATTAGTTTTATTTATACATATATTAGTTTTATGTACGTATATAATAAGTTCAAATCCACAAGACAGAAATATGAATTAAATATAGCACAAGATGCAGGTAGAATTTAAATATTGAAATTTTCAGTGTTGATTTTGAAATAAGTAAAAGTTGAGAAATTGTACATCGTACATGGAAATAATTATTTTATAAGAAACTAAATGAAATGACTGGAAAAACTGAATTGTCTAGACTAAATTACACCACAGCACAAATAACTATACGCTATTTTATCCATATAGGTACAAATATACAACATGCCACTGCAAAACCCTAAGTTTACGTAAGTATAAATAACTGCATATATAAGTGGTTAACCGAGTAAAAAGACTTAACAAAAACTGTACTTTTATGGACAATCATAAAATCTTTATAAATGAGGAAAACGTTTTAAGACTAGTGTAAATGAGTACCTACATAAAAATGGACTTAAGATCTTTATAAATTGTTTGATTTAATCTATTCTTACACATTTTAATAAAGATAGAACTCTGATTTTACAAATAGATACTATGTGGTTTACTTTAAATTTACGTATACTTGATTTGTAGTAAAGTTACGTATTTCGTTTCAATTATCACTAGAAAATTCGGAGATCACAATCTCCAATTGCATTAAATTGATACTAATTATAGGTATATAAAATAAAGATATCTCTGTACTCTCACAAATCGTGTACCTGTTATATCAAATACATTCAAAAAGGAAATGTTTTAAACAAATTTAAAGCAAATCATATTTTCACAGATTTTCTTTTAGCAAATGAGTACGATAACAATATCCTACATGGATAACTTTATAGTCTACCTTTGGCATGAAACTGCGTATTATTCTTAAATATCGTATATGTCATATCCTGTTCCTTAACCGGATGTATTTACAACTGTTCGACATTTAATAGTGTACGTTAACCAAATATACATACAACTTTGTTTCTACAAGTACGTAACAAATAGTACCGCATTTAAAGTGACCCTATCAAATTGTTGAATTTATGTAAATATTTTTTAAATAAGTAGTCACTCGGGTTTTTTATTAACACACTATAAATCTCAAGCTTATAAAGAGTATCCCAATAAACTTGCAACACATTACTTTCAGTAAAAGTGTCTTAGTTCTCACTGACCTGTTTGTAATAATCCAAATGTCGAAAACTTCAAATGCAGGCTGAGTTTCGTAAACACTTTGTTTTATACACATTAAGTAATAATATACAAAATTGGAACCAGCACATTTTCGCCTTAAAAGACGGTTCATTTTTAACTTCATTGCACGTCACACTGGCCTCTAAAACGATATTATATTATAAGGTCCTTCTCTATAAGAGTCCTCCGAATATAAAATACGGGCAAATAATTAATATACTCTATTTTTATTATCTACAATATAAATAAATAAACTATAATTTCTTCTAATATCCGCAGTTATCGCAACTAAAATATCGACTTTAATGTACATAAAAGGGGGCTTATCAATTATCATAAGAGGTCATTGTGGTTGTGTGGGGAATTTAGAAAAGTCTTGCCGAAACTGTTAAGAAGAGTTGTACAATAGCTATCACGCGATCAGTATTAAAAGTAAATGCATTTAAAATGACTACAATGTGCTGTTAGGTACATTATTGTAGTTGTACGAGATTCATTGTGGTGAGCCCTGCGGACTAATATCGTCACCGCCTGTTTCCGAACCGACTTCGCCTTTGGTTTTATTTTCTTTCTTCCATTTCATGCGGCGATTCTGGAACCAGATTTTGATCTGCCTTTCGGTTAGACACAAAGCGTGAGCTATTTCGATACGCCGCCGCCTCGTCAGGTACCGATTAAAATGAAATTCCTTTTCCAATTCCAGCGTTTGGTACCTAGTGTATGTTTGTCGACCCCTCTTCCTTTCTGAAAGCAAAGAAATCACATTAAACACAATTCATTTTTAAGCTTAAATAATATGGCGTAACTAATTCGTTAATTAGATCGTAAATCGGCGCTCGAGAATTTTGCAATATCTTCCTGTCTAGAGATGGCCGAGATGATTTATATATCATTTATAAATCCATTATAAAGGATACAACATGAGACCGCCTAGAGTACTTTTTGATTGGCGTCACAAGGACGACCGACCTCCTTTAAACACAAAGTAGAACTATAATTATTATCATCTGTATTTTTCCCCTTTCTAAAAACCATGCTAGAGGTTCTATAATTTCTGCCTATTATTATAAGCACAAACTTTTAAAATTTTGTAAGAAAATTACGAGTCTCAACATCAGAAAATGTCGGTATGTAATTTAAAATAGATCCCGTTTTAAAACAGACGACCGAGTTGCCTTCCGACAAAATGCCATACGAGAAGAAAAGTAAAGGAACAAAGTAATTATTGGAAGATTGGTCTCCAATTACGACCGCCTGCACAGCTGACACATAACAATGTGAACAACTTGACAATTCATAATTTACCAATTTAAAGTTTTTGTTCTTGCTCAAGCGGAAATTAATAACATTTTTGCGATCTTCTGTTAAGGCAAACATTGATTTTGAACATTAAATTGTTCTTAAATTGTTTTATGCCTACGGCTACACTATTTCAATGGGTGCATCCAATGAATTTATATTAGGCGATGTGCGAGAAAATAAAAGACGTTGGCGCTGTTTAATGAACGCGCCGATAAACCGATAAAAATTAAACAGACATCACTTTATTATCTACATTTTGATTCCGGTAATAAAACTTACCGTTTTGGGATGCAAGCGGATTATCCGAAGACCCTGCGTACAAAAATATGAGTAAAATTAATTTTATAACACCCAACAAATTCTTAGACAACGTACACTTTGTTAGTTGTATTTTGGAAATATCTGTACATAAACTACGGTAAGCAAGAATTGAAGGTCAGTGTTAAAGTAACTACGCTACGAGTGACAAGTAGGTATACCCAACAAGTAAGCAAGCGACTGGTGAGAAAGAAAAATGGGGTGTTTCACTTTTGAGTGCACATTATCTTAATTTATATTTATGTATGACTTGACTACTAGCATTACTGCATGAAAACAAGACAGTATCGATTAAATTAAATGGTATCGCTTTTCCACACGGCCATGTCCTCAGACAGGTTTCCTAACAATAATCAATCATAGCGCTTCTAATGATAAACATCGACAACCAATAGGAACGTTCAAAAAACCACTTTATAGTCACAGTAAGAACAGGGGGTGCAGCAAACATGCGGATGTCGAGCTTGATGAAGATGAATAGTACCTTCTGGCAGCAACACAGCCGAAGCCCAAAAAACTAACATGTGTAGGGAGAGCGGTTCGGTGCGAGCTAAGAGAACCCCCGGCAATTTTTAACTTTCAACCTTCATCTTTCCGCGTGTCCTTAGAAAACATTCATTTCCGTTAAATTTTTTATGTTGCTCATGCTTTGAGATTAAAATTCGAAATAAAGAAGACATTTATAATCCGGCAGCGAATGTCATTTTAAATTATCCCGAATAGTCGAAGTTTTTCTGTTATCTAATTAACGATATTAGATTTGGATGCAACGCTCGTGATGAACGCTGCACTACCCTGAACAAGACATGTAATTATTTTAGCCTGACTGTTCTGAGTTTGATTTATTTCTACACAGACATGAGCTCTGATTAGTTCGATGCTTCTTTAATTAACGTAGCTTTTTATTCTTTCTGAATACTGAACCGTGTGGGAAGGCTATTTGAGATGAAGGCGATTTATCATCTGTCTACCTCTATATCTATCTCGCAATCTTCACAACACCGAGAATTTTTAAATTATTTTAATTAAAAAGTTAGGGCGCTCGTGTACATACAAAATAAACGAAGTTATAAGTACTTATTAATCGATAGGATGAAAGGTAGAGCTTACTTGAAAATTTATTCATCGTCTTATTCTTTTTACCTTAACCAATAAAGTTCATGTTCAAGTATCGCGCAATAAATTTGCCAATAATCATTAGTTAATTAGTTAAATATATTTGTTGGCAATTACGGTTTCCTACCAACAAATCTTGATCCTTTAGACCAGGAAAAAATTAAAATCGCAAGAAAGAAATTAACTACAGTGCGTCATGCATGTTTTTTAAACATCCCCTTCCGCTTATTCTCCAAAACGTTCACCGATTCGGTTTCGTTTTCGAGTTATAGAATAGAAAGGCGGGCAAACCGACGGGCAGACATAAAAAGACAATGAAAGAGTAAAAAATCCTTATTGCTCAGCATACTAATAAGTAATAAACCCCTAAGGAGCATCTAAAAAAGCGACATAGCACCTCGGTGTGACCCTACGGGGTCATTGGATTTGACCCATTTTCAATAGATTTGTTACATCTGTCATATAAGTCTACTGTGCAAAGTTTCAACCGAATACGTTCAAGCGTTTGGCAGGGTCAGAGAAGCGTGAGCCCACGGGGTCATTGGATTTGACCCATTTTCAATAGGATTATTACATGTGGCATATAGGTCAACTGTGCAAAGTTTGAATCAAATCGGTCCAAGCGTTTGACGGTTATCGTGTTCACGGACGGACACCATCGATAGGCGTCATGCAAGTGCAATATCTCTAGCAGAAACGTACCTAAACATTACGTAACTCCCGCTAGCATCTATAATCACTGTGCAAAACCATTTAAATACATATAAGCAAGGATACAACGGTAAAATGGCAAGAATCGATATGTAAACGAAATATGGAGATAAAATGCAATGAAAGTTGCAGGATATTTTAATGAAAACCTGTAATTATTTTTGTATTTATTTCAGCTCAAATTGAAGAAATATGATTTATGTTATAATATAACTTATAACTTATTCAATGTCTTGTCAAGTCCGTGTTATCTCTACCTACTAATGACCACAACATTGTCGATTAAGTGGAATCATTATGGGTTAGATGCAAGAGCAGGGGTAGAATTTCTACTCCTGAATCTCGTCCTAGGCAGTGTATTTTTCGTGGCTAGCTAAAACAAAACCAATAAAGACCGTTATTATTATTATATATTATTATTATAACAAATCCTCTTTTTTAGCGCATTTTTCAACTCGTTTTGGAAGGCACAATTATGGCGACTTTCTCCATCCATCCGTCCGTCCGTCTGAGCCGTTAACTACTCCTACAGTTTTCAAGATACCTACTTAGTTCGTTCTTTTTGCATTCGGTAGCTTACAGGTCTGGCGCCTCAACCAACAAATATCTTGACGATTTATATGCGCATGCGCACAATGTCAACTCTCGTATTTATTGAGATATTTTTTGAAATTTTAACCATATATGCTCCTAGTAAAGAGGAACAGCGCATACAGCTATAACCTTTTGGAAAATACCTATATCTACTGATCAATGCATGGAAAATACGCCAAGTTACTCGCCTTAGGACGAAAACCTTGTTTTTTTTAGTTTCAGAATTATCAAATAAAAATTAATAAAAAAGAATAAGATAGCAGTTACTGAAATTATTTTTAACATTATTTAAGCATAAATATTAAATAATCAAAAAAACCGTGCGGTGCTTTGCCCGCTACTCAAATGCCCTCTAATCCTACCTCTAATCCTTTCAAGGTTTAAGAGAGCAGACACAACAAAATCTTGTAGTGAAGCTGGTGACACTGGTCGACTCCCTATCCCTATCCGTTTACCTAGCATGTCCGATGAGCATGCTGAACAATCCGTACGGGTAATCTCAACCTATCCTCTAGATATTGATTTTCAATCTTGCAACATGCAACCTTACATTATCATGCCTCAAATTATCACCAATAAATGGAGCAAATGGAACATTATCTGCCAGGATGTCGTTAATTAATCGACGTGCTGTTAAGAATCATCCTTCAACAAGGACAAGTTTCGTACGGGTGTGGCATGAAAAGTCCGACCATTTATGAACTTATTCGTGGAAAAACGTACAAGCAGCATACGTTTCACCTAGCCTTCTCCACCCTATTTGTCAACCATGTAATGAGTAAAAGCAAAACCTGCACTCAACGATGAACAATATAGCACCTCACTCCACCAACATCCATACCAAGTGAATACGAACCTGGCTGTTTGATGGTAGCAATTCTGGTCCATGAGCTGGTCTACAAGTTGTCAAAACTAACACATAACGTTCACGCCGCGAACCTCTCCAAGTTGACTTCTTGCTAAAACAAACGCCGTTTTCCTTTTTTTACGAAATCCCGGCCTTCGTGTATTCCTACTGGTTTCTCTAAACTTTTGCACACATTTTCGAACTTCGGTGTGCATGCAACAAAGTACTCTAGCACGTAGCAACACCTCACAAACTTTGGACCATCTACCACAAAAGCTATTTTTGTAGAATCTTCAGCACTTAGACGCACCAGGAGAACAAAAATTGAAGATAACAACAAGAAGAATTATAAAAAATAATATGAAGTCTCATAAACGAACACACCAATATTTATCTGTCCTCAAGGCTGCTGTGTTAGACAAATGTTAAAAAACAATAAGAAATAGAGTCACAAACAATGCAGTCGGCCATCAATTACCGTCGTTGATACAGTGAAAGAAGAGCACTTACTATATGTTTGCCTAAATATAGGGTTAAATATTATATACGTTAAGTACTTCATGGATTAACGGCTGACTAATAAGTGGAAACTTGTTATTGTTGCACCTGAGTGTATAATGGACAGACAAATAAGAATCACACGTGGCTGTATCTAAATTTGGGGCAATTTTTTAATATTTCGAAGAAAAATACTGGAAGATATATTTTGTTAATTACAATCACCGCTAGAAGGAGAAAGTAGCCCTCCAAAACCGAAAAACAAGATTTTTTCTACATTTTTGTCGAAAATGGTATTATCGGGAAAATTTGAAAATAAAATGCGCCTATGTATTTTTCTCTATCTTGTAAAACAACAAAAGAAGGGAGAATTAGAAGTAATCTTCAAAAAAAAATACCACTGTTTTTCGGTTTCATGGATTTTTTTAAAAAACTTGGATTTGGTGCACGTGTAGTGTGATTCTGGGAATATTCAGAGCCGCGAGATATATGTATACTCGTAGTTTTAGAATTACGTAATAGATTTTGACCTGTTTCTTAGAAAATTGAAGACCACGCATAAAATAAAAGAAAGTGAGTGAAATAATATTTCATTTACAGCAGATAGCGAAATCAAGAAAGCGTCGCTTTCAAGAAAAAATGCTATTATGTGGCCTACTTTGACATTCTTTAGGTATTAGTTTAAACAATTGCTGCAGAAATCCATTCGAATTAGGCCAATTAAATCAAAACTTAAAATTGTTGAGGATGAAAAATCTTGAATTTGTGCTTTATTTTGAATATTTTCGAGGTTAGACGAGTTAAAAAGTCACCTTTGAAAAAAATATCGAGAGTACCTATTACTTGATTATAGGTTACAATTGTTAATTGTATATAAATCATATAGTTAGTAAGTCGCATAATAGGCAATGTCAAGCTATAGACATATCCATAAGCTCGTTTGCTATTTGTTTAATTTACATCTATATTTAAGTTAAATGATCGATCCAACTAAGTGAAAAAATATAATTTTCAACGATTTTTGATTGTTTCTGCGTCCTAGTGTGCACTCGTAGAACTCATGACCGACATTTGAACAGCAGTGAATCCTTTATTTTTGATCTATCTGTAAGACTTTTGTAAAGATTCTGAAGGTTGATCGAAATAACTATCACATAGGATATACCTAAGGGAATAATAATGGAAGCGTAACTATAGAATGTACAAATCGCGCAGAGATAGATACTAT